GGCTACGAGCCAATATCGAAGACAATATCACGATGCCAAACACTTCAGTAAGCTTGGGCCAACAAAGCAACCAACCCAATAGCGAGGTATAAATAGAGGTTTACTCATTTTATTAATGGACGTCCTATGAACTGAGCAATACTACAATACGTATTCTCTGGACTAATTCTATGATCAGCACGTATGACCTTGAGCGTAGGAGGGGTTTCCACAGGATCAACCCCCGGCGTAGTTCACGTGTGTTCATTTCGCAGGTACCTCAGGATCATCAAGTTGTCAAGCTACCGATCCGCTTTGCTCTCCCAATACATTTTCTACACTACCCCAGGTGATCTACTTTTTAGCATCATCACTTTCTTATCTATCAAAATTGTTGGAAATAAAAAGAAAAATAAAAAATCACTTCCATAAAAAATAGAATAAACATTCATTTAAGAGATTAGCACTACTAGCCTGGAATCAACGATAAAGACAAGAAAGCACTACGGAATCAGAAGTTGGTGATCGATGCCAACATATTATATTTTATATATTGAGTCGGTTATATTCAATGAACTGTGTCCACTCATCGGACTTTGTAGACGTTACATCTGGTGAAATACACTGGATATCATTGATTTACTCGTAATAATACAAAAATCTGTGCATGTATGTATACTTAGTGTCAAACCATTCCGTACGTACTTTACTTTTTATCAGATATAGCATCTCATAGACTCACTTCCCACTCATCGGTGCTGCTAATTAGGACGGAACCGGGCGCAAATTACATTATCCAAAATAAAAATTCTTTCACTAATACGAATTAGTTTAAATTAAATCTCACTCAAAAAACATCGATTTTTTTTATTTTTTTTTTTAAATTCAAATTTTCCTAGTAAGAAAAGAAACCTTATTCTATAACCAAAAATTTGCTGTTCGAAAATTCGAAATATATAATTGTTTCTCGGGAAATATGTGAAATCGAAATTTCCGTTCCAATTAGGGTGACCAGAATACCAAATGCTGCATAATGGTAATTATAAATCAAATAAAAGAAAAAATAAAAATAAATATTTAACGTGATTCCCATTTATTACAGTAGTTGGAAAGTGTGTAATAAGAGAAAAAGAAGTTCGATCGGTTTTGGGTTTTGTCCGCTCTGATTTTGGGGGATCAGCACAAACTAGAAAGAGAAAAAATATCCCTGCAAAAGTACTGCTTAATTCAAGATATTGTCTTCTTCCTCTCACATATACTTACAAATCATACACTACCAAATTCAACGTAACGTGCACTATAATATCACATCGATCACTTACATTTTATTAATTTATGTATATTATATATTAATCTGAGATTTAGGTAACTGAGAAAATAGTTGCAGAAAATTTCTGAGAAAAAATGGCAGCAAGCGATCAAACCAAGGAAGCCTGTATCTACCAGGAGTGGATGAATCTTCAAGAACAGGAGCTTACAGAGCTCACCCGCGCCGTTTCCGGCGGCGCCACCGGAGCCGAGCTGAGCCAGCTGATCGAGAGGGTCATGGCTCATTTCGTCGACTACATGCAGAAGCGCAGCCGCATGGCTAGGGTCGACGTGTCGCCGTATTTCGCGCCGACGTGGTGCACGTCTCTGGAGCGGTCGGTGCTGTGGATAGGGGGCTGCCGCCCCTCCTCCTTCATCCGCCTCATCTACGCCCTGTGCGGCCTGGAGATCGAGTCCCACCTCGCCGAGTTCCTCCGCGGCGCGAGAATCGGGAACCTGGGGGAGCTGACGGCGGCGCAGGTGGCCATGGTGGACGGGCTGCAGGCGAAGACGATCAGGGAGGAGAGGAAGCTGTCGGCGCGGATGGCGGTTTTTGCAGGAGGATGTGTTGGGACCACCCGCTGGCGTCGATCGCCGTTCAATCGGAGGGGAGGAGCTCTGAGATGAGCGGGAATCTGGAGGCGGCGCTGGATAAGCACGGCCGTGCCATGGCGGAGATTCTGGAGGAGGCTGATCGGTTGAGGCTGAGCAGCTTGAGGGAGCTGATAGGGATACTTACGCCGCCGCAGGCGGTGGATTTCATGGCGGCGGGGAAGAAACTCAGGCTTTGCATAGCAGGATTGGGGGAAGAAGAGAGATCTTGATCATGGTCGGAATTAATTAATTAATTAATTATGTAGTAATTTAATATTATTAAATATTTAGGGTTTATTGTTTTTTATTATTTAGTTTGTGTGTGTGTGTGTGTGATGAATTAAATAAATTTAAATGTCTGTGGTGTTCAATGTGTAGTTAGATTAATTAGGGGACCTTGTTGTAATATGTGCTTTTGATGTAATTACCACAGCTTGTTTTTTTCTATTTTGCAATTTAAATTTGCCTTTTTCAGGAATATCTCCAAATATAGAAAGAAAAAGGATTAAAAAAGAAAGAAAAAAGCACATCCATAAATCCATAAACTACATGAATAAGTACAAAGATAGATTAGTTACAAGTCTCCAGTATAGGGTTAATATTAAATTCAAAGGATTTTGTTTTGGAAAATTACAGTTTTCACCCCTCAAGTTTGCACTTATTATATATTTGGTTCCCATGTTTATAAAAAATATTTTTGGTCTCCCATGTTTCACTAATTTAATATTTTTGGTCATATTCGTTAATGTATCGTTGCTCTATCAGTTGAGAAAGTGATGGACACATGCTTGATTATGTTATTACTAACAGAAAATTGACGAAATGACTAAAAATGCTAATTTTTTGATACATAAGGGACCAAATGTATTTGTTTGTAAATATGAGGGACCAAATATGAAATTGATGCAATTTTGAGTGACCAAAACTGTATTTTTCCCTTTTTTTTTTTTTTTTTTTTTTTTTTTTTTGGTAACTACGAGTTTTTGGATTTACCATTATTTATGTAAATTCCATTTACCATTACTGTTTGAAAAAAAGAATTGGCAGTAAAATTACTCTATTATTGCTTAATTTGTTTTACTCAAAAGTGAAATATTAAAAAATAAATAGATAAAATTACTCTATTATTATTATTCGATTTTCGTTAATTTTTCCAAACTCAGTTAGATTCAATGGACTGAGGTCACAGCTGCTGCTTCATATAATCATATATAATCAAGGGTAAATAAATCGATTTTTTTTTTTTTTTTGCAATTTTTTATTCAGAAATTATATATAGTTCTTGGAAACACAACTTTTAATTTTGTCCACTCTGATCTTGCGTAGAGAGAAAAATATCCCTGAGAAAAAAATTGAACACTTTGAATGAAGAAGTTGTCATCTTCTCCATACATACATCCAAATTTCCAAACAGAACAAATTATTTAAAAAAAAAAATTAAAAAGAAAAATTATCCATGCAGCACCATTTCACCATCTTTGAAAAAGATTTACAGTCACCAATTCACTATATATATATACGTATACCCCTTCTTTCTATATATATACCGACCTGGAAATGTATATATATATATAGCTACAGAGTTTCTGTATTAAAATCACAGCCCACAAAAAAAAAAAAACAATGGCAGCAAGTAGTGATCAAACCAAAGAAGCTTGCATCTACAAAGAATGGATGAAACTACAAGAACAAGAACTCTCTGAGCTCAACCAAGCCCTAACCCTAACCGCCGCCGGTTGCACCACCACCGGAGCCGCTGACGAGCTGAGCCACCTCATCGACAAAATCATGGCCCACTTCGTCGAGTACACTCAGATACGAAGCTGCATGGCTCAAGCCGACGTCTCCCCTTACTTCGCCCCCACATGGTGCACTTCTCTCGAGAGGTCGGTCCTCTGGATCGGGGGCTGCCGCCCCTCCTCCTTCATCCGGCTCATCTACGCACTCTCGGGGCTCGAGATCGAGTCCCGTCTCTCGGAGTTTCTCCGGGGGGCGAGAATCGGGAACCTCGGGGGGCTTTCCGGGGACCAGATTTTCATGGTGGACGAATTGCAGGGGAGGACTATTGGAGAGGAGAGGAAGCTTTCGACTCGCATGGCGAGTCTCCAGGAGGATCTGCTCGACCATCCTCTGGCTTCCATTGCCGTGAAATCGGAGGGCAACTTGGACGCGGCGTTGGATGATCACGGACGTGCTATGGCGGAGATGCTGGCGGAGGCCGACCAGTTGAGGCTGAGCAGCTTGAAGGAGCTGATCGGGATACTTACGCCGAGGCAGGCGGTCGACTTCATGGCGGCGGGGAAGAAACTCAGGCTGTGCATGCAGGATTGGGGGAAGAAGAGAGATCTCGATCACGGTCGGAATTAAAATAAAGGGTTTCGGCCGCCGAGTTCGTACGAGGTTTTTTCGGGCTTGTCTTTTTTTTACCTATGTTATTCCCAGTTTTCTTGTTTTTGTTTGTGTATGTAAAATAAGAAATAAAGGTCAAGATCAGGGCAAACTTTTTGTATTATATAGCCTGCAGGATGTTCAAGAATCTAATAAAGTTTTATCTGAATTTCGAAATTTCTTAAATATTAATTATAGAGAGATTATGTTGGATTATAGAAATTATTAAAAAAAAAAAACAAAAAAAAAACAGAGCCACAAAAACCAGAAGGCTCTGTTTGGATGATGGACAAGTTTATTATCCGTGATCTACAAAACAGTCTGCGAATAATTAGGAAAATGTGGTCATTAACAACAATTTACTATAATTAGCAAATACTTTTATTGTTGGGATTCAGAAAAATTGGAAGCTCTGTTTTCCCTTTTCTGAAATTCTCCCACAAGTGATTTTTCTTCAACCTTGCCTTAGGCAAGGCTTATAAGTTATAACCTCTCCTGTATTCCTTAAAAAAAAATAAAAATAAAAATAAATAAAAGATTTGATCTTTACATTAGTTGTCTGTGCCAAAGATGTCTGCATCGATGTGCACCGATAAAGAACTAATTCCCCAATTCAATTCTTTCCAAGGGGTCTAAAAAAAAAATAAAAAAATTAAACAGGAGAGGTACCTGAAGAAATTGAAAGAGGAAATGGAGAAGAAAGGGAATATTCTGATGCAAAAATACGAGATCGGAAAACTTCTCGGACAAGGCACGTTCGCCAAGGTCTACCATGCAAGAAACCTCAAAACGGGGCAGAACGTGGCCATCAAGATCATCGACAAGGAGAAGATCGTGCGCGTCGGATTAATCGACCAAACGAAACGCGAGATCGCTGTAATGAGGCTGGTCAACCACCCGAATGTGGTCCATCTCTACGAGGTCATGGCCAGCAAATCCAAGATCTACTTCGCCATGGAGTACGTTCGGGGCGGCGAGCTCTTCAACAAGGTGGCTAAAGGGCGGCTCAAGGAGGATGCCGCCCGGAAGTACTTCCAGCAGCTCATTGCCGCCGTCGATTTCTGCCACTCCCGTGGAGTCTACCACCGCGACCTCAAGCCGGAGAATCTCCTCCTCGACGAATATGGCAATCTAAAAGTCTCTGATTTTGGGCTTAGTGCCCTCTTAGATTCGAAGGGTAAAGACGGTCTTTTGCACACCACGTGCGGGACACCCGCCTATGTGGCGCCGGAGGTTATAAACAAACGTGGCTACGAAGGAGAAAAGGCAGATATTTGGTCGTGCGGGGTTATCTTATTCGTGCTTTTAGCGGGTTATCTTCCTTTTCAAGATTCGAATCTCATGGAACTGTATCGGAAAATTAGCAGAGGAGAATTCAGATGCCCGCAGTGGTTCCCACCTGAAGTCAAGAAGCTTCTATCGAGAATTCTTGATCCGAACCCGTCTGCGAGAATATCCGTTTCGAGGATCATGGAGAATTCGTGGTTCAGAAAAGGGTTCAAGCGGGTCGACCCAGATCCGGATCTTGATACGGGCGGGGCGATGGAGGATGATTCGCCCCGGAGCATTTTCGAGATAGTGGACTCCGATTCGGAGCCTTGTTCGAGGAAGAAAGAGGATGTCTCGCCCAAACCCCACTACATGAACGCTTTCGATATCATATCGCTTTCCCAAGGTTTCGACCTTTCCGGATTGTTCGAGAAGGACCTGAGCAATTCGCGGGCCCACGCCTGGTTCACCACCCAAGTGCCGCCGGATGTGGTGGTTTCGAGGCTGGAGGAGCTGGCGGACACGGAGAGCTTCAAAATCAAGATGAAGGATGGGGTGGTGAAGATGCAAGGCAGCAGAGGTGGTAGGAAAGGACAGCTGGCGATCGATGCGGAGATTTTCGAGGTTACGCCTTCGTTTCATATGGTGGAGGTGAAGAAAACTGCGGGCGATACATTGGAGTACGTGAAGTTTTGCGATCAAGAATTGAAGCCTTCGCTCAAGGATATAGTGTGGAGTTGGCAAAGTTACGAGGACGAGTTGCAGCAGAAGCAGCCCCTGCAAGAAGAAGGAGTCGATTAGTTTTTTAGAGCTAATTGGTAATACTTTTCGAATTGATTTTTCTACTCGTGTTGTTTTAGCCTTTTTGGATTGCTTTTGCATGCTTTGAAGTAGATTACGTTTATTTAGGAACAGAGCTTTTACTTAGCTGAGTATGTTCTGGATCGGTATTTTTCTTGAAGTGTTAAATTTACTCGTTTTCTTCGTTGGTTTTTGCTTCTTTTTTCTGTAGTGCTGCAGAAAGCAGGAGGAGGTGGTTTTCGATTTCCCCGAGTGCTAATAATAAGTCTTTCAGACCTAAATGCGTTACGAATTTTCGTTTTGCATTTCCTCTGTTACTGTTCGATTCTCCTGAATCTAATATTATTAGATTGAATGGTGGGGTTTTGCATTATATGTTTAAAATTAAGAAAGCAACAGAAAGGTGACTAGTTAAATGCACTGTCCTGAATTCACATGCTTATGTCCTGAATATTAAATGTAAGAAAAATGAAACGATACCATAAGATCCTGAGGACCACCTGAGGAAGCAATTTCTGACATGAATTATTGATACGGAGTAGGTAATTATATTCATATCGATTATGTATACACGTATATATGAGGAATATATCATATCGACCTGTATATGGAAAATAAACTCCCCTAATATAATAATTCGAAGAAATTTTGTCTATCTTGCTTGTCCTATTTCTGTTGTAGTGTAGTTAAATCGTATTGCTGTTCCACTTGTCGTAATTGATTAATTCGATAAACCAAGGAATCAATAACGAGCAACTACAACCATAGTTACAGCCTGTAGCTTCCATTGCACAACTTTTAAATCAGGTTAAGATTATTTCCAATTTGATCACCACGTGAATACGTGTTTATCGAGAAAACCCAAACATATTGTAATAAATCTAAGTGGAAGAGATCCAGAATTACAGAATCTTCCGACGACTTATTTCCATACTAAAGTTGTTATGCACTGTGTCATAAAGAAACATAGAGACGAATAGGTAAGGAACTCGACGACATTCGTTAATGTGAAGGCGGCAAATTTATCTATTTTATTTACCACTGAAAAATCAAATGTACACAACTCATCAACAAGCCAAACAATATCACTGTGCATTTATTCCCTAACACGATATAACAGAATCGACTATAACACGAAAAGCAACACATTGTACAAAAGCTTCAAAAAACGAGGGAAAAAAAACAGAGAAGGCCAGATGGCGTACGCTTTTCGACTTCTTTCCTCTCTCTCTATTTCGTGTCCGAAGGCAAGTTGTAAGAAGAATCAGCAACTTCTCCCATAACTAGGCTCTGCAATCCAGGCTTTAATTCCTTATTACAAAATTCCTCGTATTCGAATCTATCACCTCCTTTCTTCTTCACTTCAACCACTCTCAACAATGGAGTTAACTCAAATATCTCAGCTGCAATTGTCAAAGGCCCCTTGACACCATCTCTAGATCCCTCGAGGCTCACTCGGCAATCCTTTTTCCGAACCGTAAAACTCACGACTTTCGCAATTTCCTCCAATTTCGAAATGATTGTCGAAACTGGTGCCGCTGTAACGAATCTCGTCCCTCCATTGGATCCTTCTTCGAACAATCCCGATAAATCAAACCCGCGCGAGAACGAAATTATATCGAAAGCATTCAAGCTAGCAGGCCGAGGAAGGATAGGGATCTTCCTTCTGCTCTCAATCTCAGTCTCCGGCTCTAGCAATGCGTGATCCAACAACGAAGCGAATTCTTCAGTATCGCAAGAATCTACATTGCATAATTTATCATCCTCAATGTAGAATTTCACATGCTTAAACCCCTTTTTGAACCATTTAGTATCCATAATTTCCGGAATCGTGATCCTAGTTTCAGGATTCGTGTCAATCATACGCGTTAAAAGACGAATCAAATCCGGTGAAAACCACCTCGGACACCGGAATTCGCCTTTGTGAATCTTCTTATACATCGACATGACGTTTTGATCGTGAAACGGCAAATACCCCGCCATTAATACGAATAAAATCACACCACAGCTCCAAATATCGACCTTCGCCGCATCGTATCCCTTCCTAGCCAAAACCTCCGGCGCCACGTACGCCGGAGTTCCGCACAGAGTGTGGAAAAGCCCGTCCTGCTTAATCTGATCGGGTATAGCGCTCAATCCGAAATCGGAGACTTTCAGATTCCCGTCTTCGTCGAGGAGGATATTCTCCGGCTTCAAATCGCGGTGGTACACGCCCCGCGCGTGGCAGAAGGCGACGGCGGAGACCAATTGCTGGAAGTACTTTCTGGCGACTTCCTCCTTGAGCCTCCCCTTCGCCACCTTGCTGAACAACTCCCCGCCCTTCACGTACTCCATCACGAAGAAGATTTTCGATTTCGTCGCCATAACCTCGAACAATTGCACAATGTTCGGGTGACGAACTCTCCTCAGAATCGAGATCTCGCGTTTGATGTGAGCGATCAAACCTATTTTCATGATCTTCTCCTTATCAATCACCTTAATCGCCACGCCTTCGCCGTTGCTCACGTTCCGCGCGTGGTAAACCTTCGCGAATGTTCCCTGGCCGATGAGTTTCCCGATTTCGTACCGGCCTAATAGAAGACCTTTCATCTCCTTCTGCCTCGGTGTTCTCGCTCCGTCGGATCCGGCGGGGGAGGTGGCGGCGGCGGCCATGAATCGTCGGATTACACAAGTTGCAGCTGCTGATACTCTCTGTTTCCGTTGTCGTATTTGGGATTTTTTTTCTGAGGTCTAAATAGAAAGTGGAAGATTGTTTATTTTATTATAGAGAAATTAGAACCATATATATATTTTTTCAGGTTTAAAAATAATTAATTTAATATATTACCATATGCAGCTGTACTTTCGAAAAAGACAAAAAAATTAAAGAGAAATCATCAAACCCGGACACCGACATGATTGGTGATTACAAAAACAAATCATTAATTAATTACTAATAAAAAATCGAATAATTTGAGTTACAAATCACTTCTTGCCAGCCTTTACTACAACGTGGCATTTTAGATATTTATTCGGTCATAATTCGAAAATAAAAAATTCAAATAATCGAAAATCAGAATTTCTTGTGCAATTAAATGAAATTAAAATTCGTCGAGCCCAAATAGATTGATCCAGCAAGTGGGCCCAAATCATTTTAGTATCGGCATAAAAAACCAAGCCCAGTTAATTATTATGTATGAATATTTTAATATAATAAAAATAAAGAGAAATAAAATATTCCAACGGTCATCAGCTCAAATACTTAGGGCATCTCCTGTCGATCGGGGGCGGCTCCCCAGGGGCTCCCCCTCCCCCTCCCCCGACCCCAGCCCATTTTTCGTCCAGCCGACCAATCTCTTTCTTCCAATTTTTTCTAACACCACTCTCACCATATAATAATAATAATAATAATAATAATAATAATAATAATAATAATAATAATAATAATATTTTTTTCTTATTTTCTGGACCAATTTTTTTGTATTACATTATTGAATATTTACAATAAAATTACTATTTTAAACTAAAAAGATCGAATTAGAGAAAAAAACGAGAAAACTAAAGTAAAATAAAAGAAATTAATAATAAAATGAAAATAAATAAGAAAAAGGAAAGAAACAAAAAGGAAAAAAAGAAAGAATTAAAATAAATAAAAATAAATAAAGAAAATATACAAAGAAACTAAAGAAAAAAAAAGAAATACTAATATGGAAAGAGGAGAAGAAAAAAAAAAGAAAAAAAAGAAAAAAAAAAAGAAAAAAGAAAATCCCATACGTGAAATACACGTGAGGAGTGGAGAGTGAGAGCCCAGGGCTTATCCCTGGGCTCAATTGAACCCCCAGCCACCCCATGCTCATTATCAGCAGCCCTCGGCGCAGGCG